CTCCATCTTAGAAAAGAAGAAACTGAGGCTTCAACTTGTTTAACCACAATATGTTGGCTGTTTTTACATTTTCTGAGGCAGAGTTTGATTTTTAGGCTTAGAAAACAATATGAATGGTAAGTAAACATGACACAAAATAGATGGGAAATAGTTTTTGAGGCAGTAAAATACCTCAAAAACTGGGCAGGTAAGCGTAGTTGTTAAGATAGAAGTATTTTTACTGTAAGCTACAGCCGATATCTTCGCAATATTAGAGGTAAATGAAAACCGACATTTTGTCAGAAAAGATTCCTGTTTGAATGTTCTTGCAATGTTGGTGAGTGGGAGCAGAAAAACCAATTTTCCCTTTCCTGGTACTTTCAGGTAGAGAGAGTTCAATTAGTGAAACTTCTGGTTTCTTTCACTTACTCCAGCCAGATGAGGAGAAGTGATATCTCTGTTAAATTTAGGAAGAATGATCTGGGCATATTCAGTTTTTTCATTTTCCCTTTTTGGGACCTAGGCTGTCTACAGAGAGCAAGTTTCCCCTGTTCTTCCCAGGCAAGCTCTTCCCTAATGAGAGCCCAGTGCAGCTACAATTGGCTGCCTTGTCTGTTTTCTCAGGTAAGGAGCTCTGTTGCAATCCATTTTGCTTCTACACTAAACTTTTCATCAATCTGGCCTTTTATAGTATTTATAGAGGGTATTTTGTTCTCTGCTTATCTTCTTGAAGGAAGGAACAAAGTCATTGACATCATTACCATCACCACCACCATTCAGGTGGATTAGAAAAACATTTTTATTTCATTTTTCTTAGAGCGTTCCACTTCCCCCAACTAAGAAGAAAGATCTGTCATAAATTAGGTCAGTTGGTGAGATTCAGGTCAAATGCCGATTGCTTTGTGTTGTTATTTGTTTGGCATAGTGTCTTGCTGTGTGGGGTAGGCTGTCCTCAAACTCATGATCCTCCTGTCTCAGTCTCTGGAGTGCTGGAATTATAGAATGCACCACCATGCCCAACTGATGCTAATTCTTTATACCACACTGATGAGAAGTTACCTTTTTGGAAAGAATAGGCAAAGTTTTAACAATGTTGACAATTAATATTGGAGCATTTAGTATAGTTAGAAATGGTGCCTATTGCTTTAACTGTAAAAATTGAGGCAGCAGTTGCTATGGAAATGTGATAAGCTAAAATAATAGCTTTAAGTGAGAATAAAAAGCAATGAGAGCAAGACTTATGATTACATGTTCTGTAACTACTAGTGATGAATGTTGGTACTTCATTTTACCTGATTAAATTATTAAATATAATTTTCCTTTATCCAAAATGAATGGGATTTCTTATCCTTTCATTTGAGCTGCTGTTTGGTACAGTGATTATTTCTTCTAACATCTATTCCAAGGTGGAACTAAAGAAATAAGGGTGTGTTGTCTTGAAATCTTACTAATATTCAGGCCCAATCTTTAAACATCTTGTTATTATAGTTAAATCTCTGTATAGAATCCAGCAGGAATTGACAAAGCTGTTCTTTGATGCCCTTTGTGAAATTACTGGAAGGGAACTATAATTTTAATATGCATATTAAAAGTTATTCTCCAGGTGTTCTCTGGCTTGGCTAAGAGCCAAACAAAGAAAAATAGGCTTCTATTTCAACAAGGATTTTGAGTTCTAAGAAAAGAAAGATAATTTTCCTCACTGCAATGGAGTATTAAGTTTTATAACCTCCTTCCTTGGAGAGATGTAAGAATTTAGTAGATGGACCAGATCTGTGCTGTGTGTGAATTCAGTGGTGGCCAGTTGGTCTTTGGCACTCTGGAAGGGCAGAAGGTGATTCTTTTAAATCTTGCATTCCAGAGCAAAATTATTTCCAGATTATTCAAAAATAAGATATAAGTAATTATATAAATATAAAACTATCAAAGTAAATATGCAAAAAATTGGGCATTTGATTTTACTATGACTATTGTTTTAAGGACTTTATGTAAAACAAGATTTTTTTCCCCTTTTAAATTGGAAGACAAAAGAATCAGGGAAAAAGAAGGAAACAGGAAGGCAGGAAGAAAATAAAAGTGATGGGACTTTGGGCTTATACACCTACGTAAAATGATGGTAATCATTTTCTCCTGATTTAAAAAAATTGCTTTTTGATTTTACTGCTTCTAACAGTCATTACTGATTATGAGGATAGCCACAATGAATCTGTAACAAGTTCATACATAGGATGGACATGAATGCACATGAATTTTATAATTTTACTTAGATGGCTTCTCACCTCATGGCACCCAGGAACCAAAGAAAATGAGAGGAAGAGACTGGGACCAAGATATACCCTTCAAGGGCATGTCTCCCATGACCTACTTCCTCCAGTTGCGCCCCTTATAGTTCATTCAGCTATGAAATAATCAGTGGATTAAGCCCTTGATAAAGTTAGTACTCTCATGATCCAGTCATCTCAACAGTGCCGTCAGCAGGGGACCAAGCCATCAACACATGAGTCTTTTAGGGAGACATTTCATATCCAAACAAAAACATCAAGCTCAGGGTTTCTCTCCTAAAATGAAACCCAGGGTGTATCCCAGCATCCATCAGTGCTTACCTACATTGCTCCATGAGCAAGGGACACAGATGTAGAGATGCTCATGCAACTTGCTGTGTGGTAAGGAAGGAAGTCCTTTATCTTTTACCCAGGAGTCTTCTGCCAGCATCTGTAAAAGGCAGGTTAACTTGTTAACTTACAAGTAGATAAAGTTTCATACTTTTCACAGTTCTTAAGAGACCATGGACCAATGTGAATGGGCAGGTACAATGCCAGGCATATAAAACTAGTGCTTTTCAGCCTGCAAAATATCAAATTAGCATTTTTGTCACTGCTTTTCCCCTTCAAAGTCACAAGATGAGCTGTTCTCAAGCAATCACATCTTAAGTGTGATTTCTATTCTAAATACATGTGTGAAATCTACTAGCTATTAATTATTCTGCCTTGAATATTCTTAACCAAGTGGGAGACTATTTCAACAATAGAAAGAATTTTAGGATCATCAAGACAAAACATATGATCTTTGATTTAAAATGCAAAAGTTTGTGTACATGTGTTTGAAAACATCACCCACGCATATTTCCATGAAAGATTCTTACATAACCCCTAAGTGACTAACACTATGGTTTCTTGGAGTTCAGGGCTCAAGTAGCATCATAATGCCAGATGATCTTGATCTCTCACCTCCACCTCACCAGGAATTTGAGGAGCAGGTACTGCCACTGCCATCATGGGGGACTTTGAGGCACTGCTCTGGCAGCTGGAGATGTCATGTCTCTTCACTGAGTACAGTGACTGTGAGCCATGTGTGGTGACTCAACACTGATTTGGCTAGTCTGAATTGCAAATTGTTGTAAGTGTAAATTATACACCAGTTTTAGACTTAGGTCAGAAAAGACTGTCAAATATCTTAAAATTTATTATGTTTGAAATGGTACTGTTTTGAAAGGTTAAATAAAAATTACTATTTAAATTAACTTCACATGCTATTTTTACTTCTTTCAATGTGACTGCTAGGAAGTTTTAAATTATATATGTAGTTCTACTGTACAAGCCATTCTAGATTCTTGTAATTCATACAGTAATCCTTGGACTGGCAGCACCAGCACTGTATGCAGCTTGTTAGAAACAGAATCCCACACACCAGAATCTGAACACACACCTCAGCAAAACCCATGTGATTTGTATGCACATTACAGTGTGAGCAGCAGAAATGTGTGCTGCCAGATTTGGCTAATAAGTATACTGGATATCCAGTTAAATGTACCTTTCAGATAGTAATGAATGATTTTTAAATATAGCAGGTCTCAAATACTGCATGGGACATACATTAAATTATTTGATTTTTCTGAAATTCAAATTTAACTGAGTGTCCACAGTTTACTGCCAATCCTACTTAAGACTAAATTCCTCCTGTCCAGACCTATCTTAGTATTTGAAATTCTACAGAATTACAGGAAGATTCCTGCGTTATATATAATATGTAACTTACATAACATATGTAATGTATGTGTGCATATAGCCCCTTTCAACTTACTAGTACTTTACCATTAAAGAGATCAAGGTCCCTAAAGTGCCAAAATTGCTGATGCTTCATTTGGGAAGATTTTCTTCATTGTGGCATTTTAATTGTATTCTTTCTAAATGTAAAACAATCTTTAGGGATATTGTTTGTTCCATTGTGCTGTGTTCTGTTTTTTGTAGGCTTTAAAATACGGTAAGTGGGAGTTTAGGCTGCCCAAGAAGGAATAAAAATAGGTACTCTCTTATTTAGCTAAACACTGAAGTAAGGTTTTCATCTGTGATCTCATTTAATTTTCACAATAATTCTTCAGGTACCTTTGTTTCATTCTGCAGATGAAGAAAAGGCCCATCTGGGAAAACAATTTGCCCATTGTCACAGCTCCTCAGGTGCAGCTGGATGTGCACCTGAGTGGTATCTGACTCTAAAACCACTGCTCTTCAAATTCCTTTCAATAAGTCTCTCAGCAGACAGTCATGAATTCAACATGAAACTATGAACTAGGACATATATATGCAAGTTAGGAAAATTCCGGAGATTTTTACTGACTTATTCACCTGAAAATACATGTAAAATATATAAACTTAATAGATTTGAATTAAATAGCTGCCTGAAAAGAAGTGTGAGAATCTTATTAAGAGTTATATGACGGTAACAAAACAATGCAACTTGCTGTAAGGAGCTTACCTGGGAAATATATGTTCTTTAGAAACCTGCTCCCTAATAATCTTTGAATGAGATGAATAATTAAAAACCTAAATATTGGTTTCACTCTATAGTCTAAATAAAGCATTATCAGGCCCCTCCCATTCTCCTCCTCCCCATAATACATCCTGGGAAAACTGTCCTTTTATTGGCTGAATGGGTTGTCAGTCACATGGCATGCCCAGTGCTGCCTCTGCTCTGTTTGTATTATGAATTAACAGATGTGCTTGGTTTGAAGAGACATTAATTTCTTGATGGGAAGAAAAATCTTGTTTAGTTTTCCACTTCTTTTCTTATGCATGAGATTTTCACTATCTTTGGAGCAGATATTTGCCAGGAAGGACGTAAGGTGAGTAATTCCACATCTTTTAATGTAACGTTTTTGTAAACTTCGGTGCAAGTATGAAATGAGATAGTTCTGCAATTTCTTCTTATTATCTACATTTGCTTATGGTTCAAAATGGATAAGCTAGGTTATATAAGATAGTTACCTACTTAAATTATTAAACTGGAGTTGTAATTAAGAGATTAGAGCATTAATATTATAAGGCAAGGATTACTTGTTCAAAATACCCAAGAAACATTGTATCATGTATCAAAGTATACGACTCCTCAAACCAGCATTTGGGTTTTATTTTATACTTAAGGTAAATTTTTTTTATTGTTTTATTATTCATATGTGCATACAAGGCTTGGGTCATTTCTCCCCCCTGCCCCCACCCCCTCCCTTACCACCCACTCCGCCCCCTTCCTCTCCCCTCCACCCCCTCAATATACTTAAGGTAAATGTTAACTTCACAATTTCTCCTGCTTGCATTATGTGAGAACAGAGAAAGAAAAAAAAAAAACCTTAGAAATATGTAGTCTGTCCCCCAAAGAAAATGTATTAAATCATTTTAACTGGTAGAAGAAGATAATTGTGTGTAGTGCAAATATTTACAATGTACAAGCACTAGTTCTGTTTCTGTTGTCCCTTTGGTTTCCTTCCATACCATCTAAAGGAACATACAGAGATTCATCTGTACTAAATAATGTTCAGAACCTGACTAGCAGTTAATTTGTGTCATGGCTCCCAGTTATTCATTCTGTGCCATCTCAACAATGCATCAGGGAATTTAGTGTGAACACAGTGCATAGCAGCAAGCAGAGTGATCTGCAGAACTTGGCTTAAAGAATTCTTAAGACAGCAGCTGATAAAAGATATAAATATAGACATTTACAATTTTTTTCTCCCCTTGAGCTTTCCTTCAGATTTGATTTTAAATAGTAAATAACTTATATTCCTTAGGTGGTTAAAGCTTAATAGTGTTTTCCTACCAAGTTTATACAGAAATGACTGATTTGTGTATTATACTGTCAAGTGTACACTAGGAATTATAAAAACCCCAATTCTGTTTTTAAGGCAAGATTAGTGGATTTAAATAATCTTAGCTTCAGAAGTTTTAAATCTAAGAAAGCACATCCGTGATCATTCTAATCTGAGAATATGGCATGTGGGTTCATTATGATGTAAACAATGGTTGCTGCTTGTGAATGTTCTTTCAAATCATGGATCTGAAATTAAAAATATCTTTGAAGTCTATAGTGCTATTCAAGATTCTTAACTCTCCATGAGGGATGATTGCATTTTAAGCCTGATACATGTTTCCTATCAGCTTTGAGAAAGTGGTAAGGGGATCACCATTCTTCCTTTTCACATTCCTTCCATTCTTTTTTTTTTTTTCCTTCTTTCTTTTTCCTCCCATGTCTCCCCATTCACAATACAGACCAGAAACAGGGCCTGGACTGAGTTGTGTATGTGGTAGGTTTACTTTCTCTTTCTATATAGCCAGTGTAAGAATACAACCTGCGGTAAGAACCAGGAGGCCAACTGCGTTTAATTTTAAACCCACAGAATGTCTTGTGTGATCTCCCATCTTCCACATCGACTTCAGAGTTTATTAACCTGTTAGCTCAGAGTTTATTAACTTGTTAGTTCATTCCTGCATATAACACATTTTAAAAAGACTTGGTACTTTTCAATAGCTAGGCGCTCTGCTAGGCACTGGGCCTTTAATGGTAAGCAAAACAGGCAGTCTCTGCCTTCATAAACTAAGTCCAGTGGTGAGGTGGTCATTAATTACATGATAAATATTATTACTAATAATCTTTGATGTGTGTAAAAGAAAAATGTGCTATGTTCACATGATATGGAAGCTGAGCTTGTCTGAGAAGTTAGGGATCCTATACCTAGGAAGTGATAGTTGAGCTGTGATTGGAGAATATTTAGAACATAGTAAGAGGATAGAAGACATGGCAGGTGGAGGAAACAACATGTGCTAACACTCTTAGATGTTTAGAGACCATGAAGCATTCAGGAAGTGAAGAATGCTAGTGTAGCTGGTGTAGAGAAAAAAGAGAAGTGCACAGAGGACTTGCAGTGTTTATACGTGGTGGTGGGAATGTGATTTTTGCCGTAAGTAGCACCATAAAGGAACTGCTTCATGGACATTTACCTACAGGAAGGCATATGGCACTAGCTACCACAAACCTAAAAATTTGATTACTTTTCAAGTATCACAGAAATCCGTTTTGTTGGCAAGAGTCTGAACATTTTAGTGATGATATAGGTTTAATTTTCTTAAACCAATGTGACTCAGTTTATTCACACAAATTTTTCTTTTTATTATTTTATTTTTATTGTTTTTGCATTTATTTACAGGAGTATACATTATTTGGGTCACTTCTCCCCTTCCCACTTCCATTTATTTATTTATTGGCATATTATAGTTATACTAGGGTACATTGTGACATATACAAAAGTGCTTACAATATATCTTAGTTAGATTCACCTCCGTCCATCTTTCTCCTTTATCTCCCCTTCCCCTTCTTAGAACAGTTTCAACAGGTCTTCCTGTTTAATTTTCATACATGCATACATTTCATACATGAATATGTAGTACCTCCACCACTTTCCTAATGCCCTCCTCCCTCCCACTAGAACCAACCCTCAAGACAGGACTTGTTTTTACCTTCCTGCCCTTTATTTATTTATTTTTAAAAAGACAGTTTTGTTTGTTTGTGATGGTTATACAGGGAGTTTCTTTGTGGAATTTCCTTATATATTTGTATTATACTCTGAATTGGTTCTTCCCCTCCATTATTCTCCTTTCTACCTTAGTCCCCTTCTTATGGTGATTTCAACAGGTTTGAATGTTATATATTCATACTTGTATAGAAAGTACATGAACCATATTCAACTTTACTTTCTTTATTTACTCTCCCCCTCCCATTAGTGCCCTTCCCTTAGCATGACATGTTTTACATTCTTGTTCTTCACTGTTTAGGTGTCTACCAGTCCCACTTTTCAGTACATGTTTTCTATATATTTATATGTATATATGATATTGCTTATATTTGTATTTGGCCTATATTACATATATGAGAGAGAACATGTGACCTTTGGCTTTCTGAATCTGACTAACTTCACTTGAGATGTTCTTCAGTTCCATTCATCTACTTGCAAATAACAAAATTTCGTTCTTTATCATTGAATAAAATTCCATTGTATATAAATACCACATTTTCTTAATTCATTTATCAGTATGGGACATCTTGGTTATTTCCACAGCTGGCTATTTTGAATAATGCTGCAAGAAACATGGGTTTGCAGGTGCCTTCATTGTGTAGTCCTAGGAGTGGTATTGCTGGATCAAATGACAGTTCTAGTTTTAGTTTTTTGAGGAGTCTTCACACTGTTTTCCATACTGGTTGTACTAATTTACATTCCCACCAACAGCATATGAAGGTTCCTTTTTCCCCACACCCTCACCAACATTTGTTGTTGTTTGTGCTTTTGATGATAACCATTCTAACATGAGTGAGGTGGAATCTTAACATGATTTTTTAAATTAGCTTAATTTTTTTATTCATTTATTCATATATGCATACATTGTTTGGGCCATTTTTACCCCCTGTCCTCTGCCCTACCCCCTCCCCCAAAGCCCCCTCGCTTCCAGGCAGAACCTGTTCTGCCCTTTTCTCCAATTTTGTTGAAGAGTAGACATAGGCAATAATAAGAAAGACATAGCATTTTTGCTAGTCAAGATAAGGATAGCTATACAGAGAGATTCCTAGCATTGCTTCCATGCACAAGTGTATTACAACCCAAATTGATTCATCTCTACCAGACCTCTTCACTAGTTCCCGGTCACCTTCCCATATTGACCTCTCATTTTAAGGTTACTGTATTAGCTCCTCTGCAGTGGATACATCAAACACTTTGAAGTTTTGGCTTTTCTACCTTTCCCTATTCCTCCTGTATGTGTCCTCCTCTTAGCTTATTAGCATGTCTAATAATATTACTGCATTTTTTTAGATCTAAAGTCTGCATATGAGGGAGAATATTCAATTTTTGGTGTTCTGAGCCTGGCTAACTTCGCTTAAGATGGTGTTTTCCAGTTCATACATTTACTTGCAAATGATAAGATTTCATTCTTCTTCATTGCTGAGTAAAATTCCATTGTGTATAAATACCACAGTTTCTTAATCCATTCATCAGTAGTGGGCATCTTAGCTGTTTCCATAACTTGGCTATTGTGAATAGCACTGCAATAAACATGGGTGTGCAGGTGCCTCTGGAGTAACCTGAGTCACATTTCTTTGGGTATATCCCCAGGAATGAGATTGCTGGATCATATGGCAGATCTATGTTTAGTTTTTTTAAGAAGCCTCCATATTGTTTTCCAGAGTGATTGTACTATCTTGCATTCCTACCATCAGGTATGAGGGTTCCTTTTTCCCCACATCCTCACCAACATTTGTTGGTGGTGGTGTTTTTGATGATGGCTATTCTAACAGGGGTGAGGTGGAATCTTAGTGCGGTTTTGATTTGCATTTCCTTTATGGCCAGAGATGGTGAGCATTTTTTCATGTGTTTTTTGGCCATTTGAATTTCTTTTTTTGAAAAAGTTCTGTTTAGTTTAATTGCCTATCTCTTTTTGGGGGAGTTTAGTTTTTTCAGCTCCCTGTATATCCTAGTTATCAGTTCTTTGCCTTATGTACAGCTAGAAAATATTTTCTCCCACTCTGTGGGTGGTCTCTTCAGTATAGAGACCATTTCTTTTGTTGTGCAGAAGCTTTTTAGTTTTATGGAGTCACATTTGACTATACTTTCTCTTACTTGCTCAGCTGCTGGGGTTCTATTGAGGAAGTCCGTGCCTATACCTATTGCTTCCAGAATATTCCCTGCTCTTTCCTGTACTAACTTCAGAGTTTCGGGTCTGATATTAAGGTCCTTGATTCATTTTGAATTGATACTGGTACAGGGTGATAAACATGGATCTAGTTTCAGTTTTCTGCAGACAGATAACCACGTTTCTCAGCAACATTTGTTGAAGAGGCTGTCTTTCCTCCATTGTATGTTTTTGGCACCTTTGTCAAAAATAAGGTAGGCATAGCTGTGTGGATTCATATCCAGGTCATCTATTTTGTTCCACTGGTCTTCGTATCTGTTTTTGTGCCAGTACCATGCTCTTAACATGGTTTTAATTTGCACTTCCTTTATGGTCAGGAATGTTGAATATTTTTTCATGTGTTTTTTAGCCACTTGGACTTCTTCCTTTGAAAAGGCTCTATTTGACCCACAGAGTGGGAGAAAATATTTGCCAGCTATACTTCAGACAAAGGACTGATAACCAGAATATATAGGGAAGTTTAAAAACTAAATTCTCCTAAAACTAATGAACCAATAAAGAAATGGGCAAGTGAACTAAACAGAACTTTCTCAAAAAAAGAAATTCAAATGGCCAAAAAACACATGAAAAAATGCTCACCATCTCTAGCAATAAAGGAAATGCAAATTAAAACCACACTAAGATTCCACCTCACCCCTGTTAGAATGCCATCATTAGCAGCACCACCAACAACAGGTGTTGGCAAGGATGTGGGGAAAAAGGAACCCTCTTACACTGTTGGTGGGAATGCAAACTCGTACAACCACTCTGGAAAAAAATTTGGAGGCTACTTAAAAAGCTAAACATTGATCTACCATTTGATCCAGCAATACCATTCTTGGGGATATACCCAAAAGACTGTGACACAGGTTACTCCAGAGGCACCTGCATACCCATGTTTATTGCAGCACTATTCACAATAGCCAAGTTATGGAAACAGCTAAGATGCCCCACTACTGACCAATGGATCAAGCAAATGTGGTATCTATACACAATGGAATTTTATGCAGCCATGAAGAAGAACGAAATGTTATCACTCGCTGGTAAATGGATGGAATTGGAGAACATCATTCTGAGTGAGGTTAGCCTGGCCCAAAAGACCAAAAATTGTATGTTCTCCCTCATATGTGGACATTAGATCAAGGGCAAACACAACAAGGGATTGTACTTTGAGCACATGATAAAGCGAGAGCACACAAGGGAGGTGTGAGGATAGGTAAGGCACCTAAAAGATTAGCTAGCATTTGTTACCCTCAATGCAGAGAAACTAAAGAAGATACCTTAAAAGCAACTGAGTCCAATAGGAGAAGGGGATCAGGAACTAGAGAAAAGGTTAGATCAAAAAGAATTAACCTAGAAGGTAACACACAAGCACAGGAAATTAATGTGAGTCAACTCCCTGTACAGCTATCCTTATCTCAAGTAGCAAAAACCCTTGTGCCTTCCTATTATGGCTTATATTCTCTCTACAACAAAATTAGAGATAAGGGCAAAATAGTTTCTGCTGGGTATTGAGGGGGTGGGGGGGAGAGGGAGGGGGCGGAGTGGGTGGTAAGGGAGGGGGTGGGGGCAGGAGGGAGAAATGACCCAAGCAGTGTATGCACATATGAATAATAAAACAATAAAAATTTTAAAAAAAGAAAAGGCTCTTCGGTTCAGTTGTCAATTTCTTCAATGGGTCATTAATTCTTTCGAAGTTTAGTTTTTTGAACAACCTGTATATTCTGGTTATTAATTCTTTGTAAGATGTATAGCTGGCAAAGATTTTCTCCCATTCTGTGGGCTGCCTCTTCAATCTGGTGAATTTTGAGGTGCAGAAGCTTTGTAGCTTCATGTAGTCCCATTTATCAGTCCTTTCTTTTGGTTGATGAGCCATTGGAGTTCTATATAGGAATTTATTGCCTATGCCTATGTATTCCAGTGTATTCCCCACTGTTCCCTGGACTGGTTTCAAAGTTTCAGGTCTTATAGCCACTCAATCCACTTTGAGTTGATATTTGTACAGGGTGAAAGACATGGATCTAGTTTCAGTTTTCTGCATGCAGATATCCAGTTTTTCCAGCAACATTTGTTGGAAAGGCTGTCTTTTCTCCATTGTATGCTTCAGGCATCTTTGTCAAAAATCAGGTAGTTGTAGGTGCATGGATTCATATCAAGGTCTTCTAGACTGTTCCATTGGTCTTCATGCCTGTTTTTAAGCCAGTACCATCCTGTTTTTACTGCTATGGCTCTGTAATATAACTTGAAGTCAGGCATTGTGATACCTCTTGCATTGCTCTTTTTGCTCAGTATTGCCTTGACTATTTGCAGTCTTTTGTGCTTCCATATGAACTTTAGGGTTGATTTTTCAATATTGGTAATGAATGTCAATGGAATTTTGATGGGGATTGCATTGAACATGTAGATTGCTTATGATAATATAGCCATTTTCACAATATTGATTCTGCCAATCCATGAGCGTGGGAGATCCTTCCATCTTCTGAAGTCTTCTTCAATTTCTTTATTCAGTGGTTTATAGTATTCATTGTAGAGGACTTTTACTTCCTTTGTTAAGTTTATTCCCAAGTATATTTTTTGAGGCTATTGTAAATGGAATCATTTTCCTAAATTCTTCTCAGTCTATTCATTGTTGGTATATAGAAAGGTTACTGATTTTTGTAAATTGATTTTGTGTCCTGCTACTTTGCTGAAGACGTTTATGATGTAGGAGTTTTTTGGTGGAGTTTTTCAGTCTTTTAGGTTTAAGATCATGTCATCTGCAAATAGGAATAGCTTGATCTCTTCATTTCCTATTTGAATTCCTATTATTTCTTCTTCCTGTCTTATTGCTGTGGCTAGGAATTCCAATACTAAGTTAAAAAAGACTGGAGAGAGTGGACATCCTTGTCTTGGTTCTGACTTTAGAGAAAATAGTTTCAGTTTTTCCCAACTTAGTATGATGTTGGCTATAAGCTCATAGTATATAGCTTTTATAATGTTGAGGTGCATTCCTTCTATTCCTAGTTTCATCACAGCGTTTATCATGAAAGGATGTTGAATTTTGTTGAAGGCTCTTCTTCATCTATTGAGATGATGATGGGTTTTTGTCTTTGCTTCTGTTTATATGCTGTATGACTTTTAATGATTTGCATATGTTGAACCGTGTCTGCATCCCTGGAATTAAAGCGACTTGATCATGGTGTATGATATTTTTGGTATGTTGTTGAATTGGGCTTGCCTGTATTTTATTGAGATTGGCCTATCATTCTCTTTTTTTATTGTGTCCTTGTCTGGTTTTGGGATGAGTGTAATACTGGCATCATAGAATGATTATGGCAGAATTGTTTCACATAGCTAATTTTTTTAACCAGGAAATTTTTTAATTCCTACTGAAGTCCAGAGATGAATCAGTCATGAGGAAATGTAAATGTATTTTGTTTTGGTTGAGATTATGGCTTCCTATAAAATCTCATTAGTTCGGACTTAGGGGTATGTGCAAAGCCTAGCTGAATTAGAGTTTGTTTTAAAAGAAATATAACAGCATTATTTTATGTTCAGGCCAGAGACTCAGTGAGCTTGTGTTGTCAACTAGAGCTTTTGATTAGTGAACACACAGAAATTTTTAATTAGTAGAGCAAGGCCTCAAATTGAACATGTTAATGATATGGTACCTCATTCATTCATTCATGTATTTTTATCCAATAAACACTACTAAACTCCTCTACTAACTAGATATTTCCAATTGACTTGATAAATTTTATTTTACTTAGGTAAAGTGTATCACACCATTTTCTATTTTTGTTCATTAAAATTTTAAATTGAATGTATAACCTGGTATCATGAAATATGATTTTTTAATAAAATTCAATATAAAGAAAATTTAAAATATATTTTTTGTGGTTATATTATTAGAAAGCTTGAAGCACTCCAAGAACTGTGGTCTGGATATTAGTTTTTCTTTGATTCATTCAGTAACATTTTAACTTGCATTATAGAATTTAGAGTTTAACTAAATTTTGACTAAAGCATGTACTTATTATAATTTCATGATTACTTTGGTGGGAGTCTTAGTTTTGGTGCTCAGGAAATAAATTTGTTAGTGCTCCTAGACACTAAGAGGACTGATTCATGCTAACCCCACTCATATGAGCCTTACTATAAACAAAAATATCTTCCAGGTTAGGGTGGGACTCCGTGGTGAGTGCTTGCCTTTCACGCGTGAGGTCTTAGGTTCAATCTTCAGCCCTGCAAAATATTAAAAAAACCTCTTCCACACAAACTTCTATGAATGAAAGTTCTTACATCTTTATTTGTGGTAGCACCAACCTAAACATCCTAAATGTTCATCAGTGTGTGCACAGACAAATAAAATGTGGAATATTTGTATAATGAAATAGTTCTTAACAATAATATAGAATGAACTGTTGATACATTCAATGATATACATTAATTTCATAGTCATCATGTTAAAACAAAGAGGTTAGACAGTAAAGAATATATGTTATATGATCCTATTAGCGTACAATTCTAGAAGATACAAACTAAAGTAACAGAAAGCCAGTCTGTACTTACCTGGGTCTGAGGGTTGAGATGACATCTGAACACTGCAGAAATGCTTGGGAAGTGTTTGTGGTTGATATAAATATTCTGTATTTTTATTGTAGCAGTGGTGTTATGAGTATGTGCCTGTGTCAAAACTCAGAGGCTTGTATACTTTGTATGAATGATTATTGTACATAAGTGATAACTCAATGAAGTTTATAGAAATGAATTAATAATTATATGCATGTATTAAGTTATTAAGGACTGCTGGTAGACATCATCATCCCCAATTTGTTTTCTTCAGAAATTCTCATCAGATATATAGACAATAGGACATTTCATTGTAATTCATATAATTAATTCTAAAGTACTTTACCTTGATACAGATTTAACAACTTCAGTGATGTTTTGCATACATACATACATAATATATATTACTCATTAATTATAAAATATTGCATTTACATGACAGCAGTACATATGGGTCATAAGAATTGTTAAGCAGAGAGTTGGGATCAATCTTTTTATATACTATAAGTGCAACTTGTGAAAAACTTAAAATGTGCAATAAATAAAGTTAAAATTTTTAGGACAGTTATGATGCAACTGGAGATTTAAACACTGAGAATACTTAATGTAAAAGAAATTATCAATATTTTACAGATGAAATTGTATTATATTTTTTAAAGTTCTTTTCTTTTAGTGAAATATATTGAAATGATGTAATTTCTGATATTTTCTTTAAGTGATATCACGGGGGAAATGGGTAAGCTTATAGGTGTAACAAGATTGGTTATAAATAAATTACTAAAGCTTTGTGATAGGTAAAGATATGTAAGAGGTTTTTTTGAATATTTTGGCTTATGTTTTCATATACTTGAATGTTCAGTGATAAAACATTTGTATATATCTAAGTTAACAGTTTCACTTTAAGAACTTGTTTTAGAGAACATCTCTTGAGTATGAACAAATAATCCACAACAAGTTAAAAGCAATATTGTTATAATACCAAAATGTTGGGAAAAAACCTTGTATTAGTTTTTCAATATTATAATGAAATACTTGATATAGGCTACTTATGACAAGAAGTATACGTAGCTCACAGTTTTGGAAGTTCAAGGGCATGGTACTTGCTTTGACTCTGTTCTGGTGGAGGGTACCATGCAGATGACAGATGGCAGTGGCGGAGTGCATGTTGGGAACAGGAGTCACATCTTGAGCCAAAAAGCAGAATGAGCAGCAGGGGTCAGGTTTTCTCCTTTTGTAACAGTGTTTTTACAAGAACTACCAACAGGTTGGACAAGAACTACTGCACATGCTCATTTACCTTTTACTGTCATCCTGGGTACCAAGTCTCCAGTCACAATGACATTCAAGCCACATCCAAACTATAGCACAACTTAGAAAGGAATTTGGTTAAAGACATTAGGATACATTTTTATGATGTAATGTTACATGGTATTCAAAATTCTATCAGAAAAATGCAATAACAGTGGTAAATATTTGTGATATATTTTAGAGTAAAAAACAATTGTAGATATAAAAAAGTATGCTTACAAAAATCAATGTTTAAGTTTCATAAATAGTAAATATATGTGTATATTAACATATATGGCATATGTGTGCATGTTATATGTGCATAGAGAGACTGGAAGGATATAATCATAATTTCTATTCTCATAATTTTCAGAAATATCTTTTTTGGCAATTGAATCTTTTTTAAAATAATAAGCATTGAATATTTTGGCTTTACTATATTAACAATATAGTGTAGTATAAAATTTTATTGTAAGATATTTTATTTTGCCTAATTATTTTAATATTATTATTATTGGTTAAACCTCAATGTATAGCACATTGCTTAGCATGTGGTAGGCTCTCTATAATATCCAATGAATAAGGATCAATATTGATTTAAAATGTTTTCTTCATTAAATTTTTCTGCATATCCTGTATTTTCCTTGAAGAGCATGTATTAGTTATTAAATCAGAAAATCACAGTTAAAAATGAATGGTTTTGATAGGCTAAGGTTCTGCTCTTCCTGACTGAGATGTAATAAACTGAATATACTTCTTAAAACTCTTGTAAAAATCTGAACTGTAGATATTTTCTCAGGTATAAAATTTTCTTTCCAATTTCAGTTCTCGAACACCTTCAAATAAAGAAGTGGTTACAAAGAGTGGTAAGACTTGTCATTTCCTTTGTGGTTTCTTAAGGGGTATGGGTTAAGACAGGCTTGTTCTATGATAGCCTCTCTGACCAGTGGTGTTTGTACATACAGTCCCTCCTGTGAAAAATCTGATGTCTTTCAAATTATCAGCCAAAAGAGGCTTAAATGTGATATATTTCACAGTGCTTAGCATTGCTATCATTCAATTACAGTAAACTGGCGATATTTAGAGTACATACTCACACCATTATTTATTTCACAGATCAACAGAGTAATGGAGATATGAAAACAGTCCAGAATTTCACAATACCAGTCACACAGGTATGGATGCATCATGAAATTAGATTGTAATCTGTCTTTAAAACATTTTAAACACTTTTCAACGATGTCAGAGCTACTGTGAAAATATAAATAATAAACTTAACATGTTAATATATTAATAAGAGCTTGTGTGAACTTCAGGTGTTAAATGTATTATGGTAGTCTGATAGTTGGAAAAACTTAAAGTGCAATAAGCCCACCTTATTTGTGGATTTATTATCACAGTTCTGACCAAGCATGTTCAAAAATAGTAATAAAAAAGAAAAAGAAATTTCTAAATCAAAAGTTTTAAATTCCATGTGAGCATTATGTGGCTCAGCCAAGAAGCTCCCAGTCAGTCTCTTGTTATGTCACCTGTGTTCAAATCATTGTGTGATTGGCTGAGTGTTTCCCTGCCCTGAATTTTGTGAAGATATGCCTCCCAAAAAGCAAATGGTGCCCCCAGAGCAAGGAAAAGGTGAATGGACTTAGTTTAAATGATAAAGTAAAAGTTTTAGGTTTGTTGAAAGGCAGCATGTCTTCAGTGGAAGTTGGGGAGTCTTATGGGAAACATGAATCAAGCATCCAGAGCACAGTACTGAACTCTGTGCATCCTGAGTGAGGGTGGCCTCCTCGGAGCCACAGACCCACAGGTACCAAACATGTACTGTCATTAATTTTACTTGCTCTCTCTTATAGCTTCATTACAATATCAAGTTTTATTGCTTTTCAGAAAGGATCACTATAGTAGCAGTGCATTTTGATTACTGTGAACTTGGGTTGTTCCTCCTGTTAACTAATTTTTTCTTTTATCTGTATTTGCACAAGAGTAATTGGTTTACTATTTATATTATACATTTTATGGGTTTTAATAAATATATAATAATATGTATCCACCATTACAAATGTGAATTAGCCCTTTTTCTTTTTAGGAAGTCTTTTGTACTTTGGACACAAATTAATCCCTTAAATTTCTTTATTTGATTAATTAGGCTCTCAATGACAATGTGAGCAAAATCAGGCGTTCAGAAAAAGAACACTGGAATGCATTCAGCCATCATAACCCCGTTAATGTCTCCATTGATGGAATTCCCTGCATTCTTTTCTGGGCCAAAAGAATCACAATTAAATTTAAGAATCAGACCTGGCTGGACTTTACAGATGAATCATTTGGTCAAAAGACAGCAGTGGACACTGGCAACTCAACATGTAGTGACGAAAGTGCAGTGTAAGTTAATCCCTCTGCTTGAGGAAGTCCTTAGAGTTATTGCAGTCAGTTAACTGTGAGCATCCAGTTTGTTACTTCAGAAAAGATTACTACCTTTTATATGACCCTGACACTCATCTTTGAGGAACTATGTAATGTCTAAATGAAAGAACAAGTCAGAAACGAACTTTTACCAATGTTATTTCTTTCCTGGCAATTTTCTCCTGAACCCTTAGTTGTCATAACAACTTACGGAAAATGAGTTTTTAAAATGAGGGTTCACAAACCTATTCTAGAAGACAGAAATGAAAAGAAAAGAATATCAGGCTTAGTCTCAACTCCAAATGTTAGGTTTCTTTTGTCACATCATGGAAGAAATTACGTGGTACAGCAGGTCACATATGATCTTGGTGGGTGAAACAGAGAAGCCTCACTTTAGCCGGGACAAGTGTTTGATTTCAGGAGACAGTTCTGAAATTGTGGAACACTGCCTGCTTGCAAATATGTTAGAGTACCTCTGAATGGCCAAATTTCAGAGAATTCTTTAGGGCATTTCAGCTTGATTAAAATAATTAGTTTTGGTTTGAGATAAGCAGGTTAAACAAATAATCCTTTTGAGGAAAAAATCAATTTCCAATGCCTTTCTCTGTTTTTGTCTTATATTGTTTGTTTTGTTTCAAGAGGAGGAAACATGACATGTTCCACTTGTATCCTATAAACCTCCTTTTCAATATTTGCTGGAACAATGAATGGTTTTGGAAGATTCTTGGAATTAGTTTTGGCCTGGGATTGTAGGATGCTTTGTATAAACCCTAACACACTGTATGTGTATGCATGTGTGTGTTCCTTTTATACTTTATCTACTTGGGCTGGAAACACTTTTTATTCCTGAACTTTATTTTTCATTCAAAAATTAAAATGAATTATATGAATATATACTTAAAAGTCATATTATGAGTCTGTGTGAGTGTCTTGCTATTTAGAATGACAATCTTTTCTTTTTTCAGAATGACTATCTCTTAGTAGGGAGTTAAGAATTGTAAGAATAAGCATCATAATCCTCCCAGATTTGTTTATCATGTTATAGCACAACTGTTAAAGACTGTGAAAGAGATGCCAGCACTAAGAGCTCTGGACTTTTTTTTTCCCCTAAGGCTCTAATTAATTCCCTACAGGGCTCTTTATTTGTGGTCAGTTGTATGGGGAGAGAATTGCCTGGGGATAATCTTGCCTGCCCTTGGATGACTGGCCTGCCTTGATTCCATTTATCCTGACCCTAGGGCATTTGTGGGGAGAATCAGTGCACCATAGCTATTTATTGAACTTTGGAGACCTTACTGCTCACTGGGAACCTATACTTGGAAAGAATAGAAACTTGGCTCCTAGGCCAGTTCTGCCAGTGACTTTTGTGACTTTGCAAACAGGACCTGCAGTATTGCCATCTGTCAGTGGAGATAATGGCATCTACTCACTGTAATGAAAAGGCATTATGTGAGGTCTTTATAGGCCACATATCTGTTATTCCTCACATTAACTCTGACTCACAGGTCATCATCACCTGTTTCGGGTGAGGAAATCAAGGTTCAAAGAGGTTAGGAAACTTACTACACTCTCACAGTTTGCTAGTAGATCTGGTTTTTAAAATTTCTTTAAAAATGACATTGTACTTCTTGGCCCTATCTCCAAGATAGGAGAACTTGTCAAGCACTTGTCAAGTGCTATCCAAAGTAGTGTTCTTTTTCTTCCTAACTACTAATGACACTACTGTAGAGTGAAATGGTGTCAAATTACCCAGTGAAGAGGCCTCTTAAGCTTTGGTTGTCACCATACATAAATTAATAATTGAGCAGGACCTGATATTTTGTCTTCTTGGTCACCACCTTAGAATTCTATGCAGATGTGTTCCCTGAGTGTGCAGCACCCACTTCCTAAAGAGCTGCTCAGGTGAGAGTGCTGGCAGCATGGACAGCCCACCCAAAAAGCACAAGCAGGAGGCTTCTCAGGAAGCCAGGTGTTCAAGGACCAGCTGCTGAGGCTTCCTGTGGTTGATTCCTGGGAATTGCTTAGATTAATGAGATTCCTTTGTTGTGCTGGTGAGGAAATCTTCAATTTAAAAGGATCAGAATGGTAGCTGCCAAGAGAACAAACCCAAGCAGCGACATAACCATGTAGGGTCAAAAGCACATATTTAAAAAATGACGTATTTCAGCTCTTGGAAACAAAATGTTCAGGGAGTGGCAAATTTGGCAGGGAGATTTGCTGTGGAAGTCTTTTAAATAGTGAAAGTCCTGCGAATAGAACATAATCCCAGCATCTGCATATATTTTAAAGTTAGGCAATTATATTATGAAGAATTCAGAATCTGTTTTAAATGTGTAAGTAAGGCACTTAAAAGAGTAAAAAAAAGCTCCCCTTTTCCAGTTCTTGCTCCGGGTTGCATATCTTCATCATGTTCCCAGTTGATGGTGCAGTACTGAGCCCTTAAAAGCTCTTCGCTGAATGAGCGTTGAATTTGCTTTGTTGAAATCAGGCCTCAGGTTCTTTACTGCAAGGCAGAGCATGCTAATGAGCTTTTGCTGAAACCAGGATTATGGGAATTTGCAGCAGACTATCAATACTGTTAGGGATAAGGCCTCTTGAAGACTTGATTTCCTGAGCAAATAAGCTTTCAAAGTGTTTGTAAATGAGTACATCTAAGGTGTCTGTGTTTATGATGTGAGGAAATACAAATATTTCTCTTATCAATCTGTTATATGATTTACTTTGTAAACATCACCACCTTCCCCTATAAATAATATTAAGATAGACTTCAGCCCAGTCATTGATAGTTCTATTTCTTGATAAGAGGGATCAAACAATGAGATGATATATGTTGGTATTTTTAGTCTTATAATTGGATCTTTTAAACCTATCTGCTTTTGCTTTTTTTTTTTTTGCTTTATAATATGACAGCAACATCTTTTTCATATTTACATTTCTCACATTTTACCACTACAATTATTTATTTAGCTTGTCATTTTCCAACTTTATTGAAATACTAGTGGAATACAATGTACTGCACATATTCAAGTGTATAATTTTTATCAGTTTTTACATAAAACCATTACCATAATCAAGAACAATAAACATTTTGATCATGCCCCACACTTTCCTTGTTCTCCTTTATAATTCATCTCTCTGTCCACTTCCACCTCTCCAGATAACCATTGGTTTGCTTTCTGTCATTAAAGATAAGCTTGCATTTTCTAGAATTTTATGTAAAATAATATAATAAAGTTGTAAAGTGTGCACTCTTTGGTCTGGCTTCTTCCACTTAGCATAGTGATTTAGATAATGTCACATATATCAATGAGTGCTTCTTCCCATTTCTGAATGGCTTTCCATTGTATGGATGTATCACAACTCATCCATTCACCCGTTGATGGAAAATTTCTCTCCCCCAGTTTTTATATAACTTGACAAAAAATATATTTATATAACTTGATATGAACATTCATGTACAAGTCTTTATGGAAGAATATATCTTTTGTTTCTCTTAGTTGTCATTCCACATAGGAGTAGAAAGTCTTAAGTCATATAGCATGAAAATTAACATCTGTACATGCTTTTTAAAGTGATTGCACCATCTTATTTGTCCGCCAGCATGGTAAGTGAATTTCATCCAGTTGTTTTATATTCTCTTGACACTTTGTAAGTGTCAGTGTGAGTGGTTAGTGACTTCAGAACAAATTTTACCAGGACCTGGATTAAAACATAAGTCTTGGAGTTAGTAAGAGATTTACCTCCTGAGAGCAAGGTGCTTATATACCAAAGGATAATGAAACCCAGGACCACAGAGACATTCTAGGGGATGGAAACCCAAATAGACATATCTTATCTTCTTATCGGAGACATTTATTTATGAACCAAGGATATTAGACCTGTAGTCATGTGTCCTTTATGGTGAGCTATTTGCTCCCATCCAAGGGCTAATTAAATTCTTCTACTTATATTCTAGGGTAGGTACCCAGGATCTTCCATCTTTATTCCCAAGGAGAATTTATTGACACTAAAGAAGCAGATATTTCTCTCCCTCTCTCAGGAGGTAAAGAAAGAACCAATGTCCCTTTCCTATATATAACTCCCAGATTCATAATTTTGGTGTTCCTCACCTCTGTTATAAAACCCAGTGTGTATATGTTGCCAGGGAGAAAAACTGGGGAATTAGTGTTCTTATTCCTATGAGGAAGTCATAATTAATCTGTATTGGATCCAGAAAATCTTGTGTTTATTTTCAGGAAAATGTGAATAAACATAGGTATTAAAAGATTATAAGCTCAGTTTTTAAGTTTTATTCATCCTGTCTTATTTTATATTTTCCTAATGTCTAATGATGTTGAGCATTTTTTCATGTTCTTATTGGCTATTCATGTATCTTGCTTTATAAAATGTTTGTTCAAGTCTTCTGATTATTTTTAAGTTGGGTTGTCTTCTTACTGAGTTGTTGAGTTTATTATAGCCTAGATAAAGTCCTTTGTATATAATTATTTCCTGTTCTCTGTGTTACCTGTTTTATTAAATACCAGTCAAAGAACAAAAGTTTTTTTATTCTAATAAGATCAAATTTACTAATTTTTTCTTTTATGGCTCATGCTTTTTTAATTTTTCAAGAAACCATTGCCTACCCCAAGATCATATGACTATTCTATAAATTTTGAGTTTTAGGCATTACATTTAGGTCTATGACCCATTCTAAGATAATTTTGGGTTATTGTGTGAAGTCAGGTTCATTCCCATTTTAATGGATAATATTGTTTCTCTTTTCTTAGATTGTCTCTGAAGTTTGGTGAGACTGAAATTCCAAAAGACATTGGTATAAGGTAGGTAGGATACCACTTTGGAGTACTACAGTTTCAGCACATCAGGTTAGTTCTGTTTACTTTATCAATTCCACATGTGACAATCAAAGGCTGGCTATGTACCAAGCCTGTGATATATCAAATACCATATCTATCTTAACTACACTGAAAACTCAGTGGTTATGTACAATGGAATCCTATAGAAATGCTTTATTTAATTCCTATCCAAACACTTTTACTCCCCCTCCTCTTCAGAGAGGGACTTAAGAGCACATGAACCAGAGAATATGATCCTCTTTTCCTCTGAACAAAAAGAAAAATATAAATAAAGCCCCAAGGATTGAGGCTCTTGTTTAAAGTTATTCTTTATAGCTCCTTATAATAAACCACACTTATCTAACTACAATGAATAAGTCTCTACTATCTGAACTAACACAAGCCTTCATTTTTCTGTATTTATGGGTAGAAGGATGCACTTGCAGTGGCTTATCCATGCAGTTGGGAATGGAGAAATTTGAAGGCATTAAATTTTCTTTTCATAAAAACATAATGCTTTCCTTCCTATAAGAAGAGCCTTTTAGTAGAGATTAGCAGTTTTGTCTTCAACATTACTTAGAAAACTAGCAGGTTGTGCTAGGGGATTCTCTCCTAGCTGTGCTCAAAGGAGCACTTCTGCTTTGTGAAGACATTTATAAGATCCTCTAGAAAAGGGCTTCTCTAGTAAAACCTGTTTGGGAATGACTACACACCATACCTTCTTCTTGGAAATCCACCCTGTAAATTTATCCATTCAAGTTTCTGAGAAGACATACTCTTAAGGAAGACTGCTGCACTTTGTTACTTTGAGTAAGCCAGTGTTCCCTGTGATTAACCTTGGGAAACTTTCTTCCTCAGGATGTTTGCCTACCTATCATGGGACACTAGTGTTTCCATGATACTAATTTAGAAAACACACACTACCATATTTTTGGCAGTATTGAAATCTGAACTCAAGGCCTCAAGCTTGCTAGACAGGTGCCTTGCCTTCAGGCCCTTTTTTGCTTTAGATGCTTTGTGAATAGGTTCTTGCACATTTTGCCTGGGGCCAGCCTTGGGCCATGATCCTCTTACCTACACCTCTTACAAGCTGGGATTACAGATGTACACCACCATGCCACCATCTTTCAGAGAAACTTAATTTCTTTTTGCAGTGTTGGAGATTGAACCTAAGGCCTTGCATATGACAGACAAGTGCTGTACCACTGACTACTCCCCAAGTCTTTCAGAGAAACTTTGTAAGGAAATAGACTCCCACTAGGTGCCCAAACTTATCTACACATCTGGTACAGAAATGAGGAATATTTTTGATCTATAATGGCACTTTTATTTCCAATGTAAAATAGCTCTATTATCATTATTAATGACTAAGTTGTGTTGCACAGACTATTAGTACCCCATCTGTATCTAGTTGGACCTTTCCATGAAGAGCACTAAACCTCACATACCCAACCTCAGCGGCCAAACTCTCTCTGCCTAAAAGTTCTCTTTGGCCAAAGGGGCCCACTGCCTCCCATCCCTAGTCCATGAAGTGTAAATACCCCAGTTTCCTCTCACTCAGGTGAGGGAGCACAGAGGCGTATTTTTTTTCATCTTGGCTCCCAGGCTTCTTCATGGGCATTAAGCAGTGAAAACTTGCTTGATAATGTGCAATTTTAGCTGCCGTCCCCTCCTCTGTCATTTCTCTTCTTGTCATTCTACATATTTTGCGTGAACGAATTCCCCCAAATGCTTCTTAAATGCACATCCTGTCTCAGGATCTGCTTCTGAAGGAGCAGAGGCTCTTGTTCAGAACCCAAATGAAGCCTCTCTTCAGGTTGGTTCCACCACCTGACAAAAGAGGGCGCCATTGTACTGTTCTTAAATGAGGCTCTGCATCATTAAAAGTGCAATGGGGGTAACACTGATGTATAAATCATTTTCAGATTCATCCTCACCAATTACAAGAAGTTGTCCAGCCAGAGTTGGTTTAATTTGCACAGAGTTGAGATTATTTTCAACAATTCGATCCAAGCAACTTTTAATGCAACAGAAATATATGCCCTGTCAAGTTATTCCTACCACTGTCAGCGCGTCAGCAACCTGCAGCGCCATGATGCCCTCCTGTTGCCCAGTGACACAGATGGCACGTCAAGTCTGTGGGAAGTCACTTTTATTGATTTCCAGGTAATAAAGTGAAGCCTGTCCTCAGTACACCTGTGTATTTGGTGCCAAAGAAACTCAGTGTTTGTTTGCAATCATCTGAAACAAAAGATAAGCAAAATACGAAATGACCCCTACTCCCTACCCAGGGTTGGCTTTTACCTTCAGGTTTATCCAGTCCTGATGATTATCTCTCTAAACCCCAGTCAGGTGGTGACTGACACTTCCTGGACTGGCTCTTCTGGCCACAGGCATGGTGAAACAATTATTTGCTTCCTGCCAGTGAGTGGAGCAGTGATCCTATCAGTGTCTGTAGTGTGAGTGACGGTGTTGGCAGTTAGCATAGGAATGGAGTCATTGGCCAGGGAGTCAAAAATATCCCAAAGATCTTGAAAGTATTTGGGGAAAGTCATGCAAGTGTAAGAGGTTCCTTTTCACCACCAGAATAGTCTTGGGGCTGAGAGACTTTCTGTCAAGTTCCTCTATCTTGTTTCTGTGGAAAAAGCTAGCCTGTTCTTCCAACTCACTGAAATAGCATGCATGACTCTGCATGTTCCTCTTAAGGGCACTTCCAGCCTTCCCATCCATATATGTGGATATCACATATGGAAATAGCTCCCGTCCACCCCCCCTCCCCCGGCTGGAAGAGGTGTAGTGTTGATGTGAGGCTGCTGGGGAAGGGAAGGAACTTGCATTGTGGAGTCAGACAGACCTGATTTCAAATTACTACTCAGCAGCTTGAATAAGTTACTTAATTCTATCTGCCTCTGACCTATCTTTATGGGTGTAAAGAACACAGGGTCTCATATATATGAAACATCCAGAACCGTGTGAGATATGGATTAGTAATACCTCTTTAAGTCACCTCCGTTAATAGGTCAGGTAATACATTTTATGTTATATATCTTTTACAATTTATAAAAAGCAAAGCAAAACAAATGGGCAAAAACGGTGGGGTAAAGAATTTTTAAAAAGGAAGAAAAGACCAGAAGCTCAATTAGAAGCCACTAGAGAGGTTGGTTCATAAAAACAACAGGTTTATCTGTCTGCACTGACAGGATGTAGCACACCAATTTAGCTTGGAAATCTTGAAGCAGCCAGCATTAGGGTCCCTAAGACTACTGGAAACTGCCCGTGAGAAGTAATTCCCACTGGGTTTTGCAATGTGTGTCCTCAAACAGCATCCTTCCAGTAAACGCAGCCCCGTGTGTCACAGGTGGGCTTTGCAAAGACACCCATAATGCAAACAGACGACAGACGGCAAACTCAGGCGAGGGAAGAGGTGGTATGGTGAAGGTGGTTGAGGTATGTGTACCAAAGGCTGCTTTCTATTCTGCAGCCTTGCTCATTCTGGTTTATTCTAAGAATAACATGCAGGCATCCCTCAGGATCCAAAGAGGACTGGTTCCAGAGCTGCTGCTCCCCCAGGGGCGCCAAAACCCACAGATGCTGAAGCCCATTACAGAAAATGGTATATAGTATTTGCATACAACCTCTGCCTGAATACTTTAGATCATCTCTAGATTACTTATAATACTAATACAATGTAAATGCTATGCAAATACTGTATTCTTTAGAGAACAGTGAAAAGAAAGTACAATTTTTTTATTTTAAATATTAATTAATTTTTGGTGGTAGTAGGGATTGAACTCAGGGCCTTGCACTTGCTAGGCAGGTGCTCTACTACTTAAAGCCATGCCTCCAGCCCTCTTTTGCTTTAATTATTTTTTGGATAGGGTCTTGTGATTTTTACCTGGTTTTGGCCTATAATTCTCCTGCCTATACTTATCTACCTACATCATGCTCCACTTATTTGTTGAGATTAGTGCCAAGTAATTTTTTGCTTGGGCTGGCTTGAAATACCATCCCTCCAATCTCCATTTCTTGAGTAGCTGGAATTAGAAGCATGCACCACCACACCCAGCCCTAGAATAGTTTTTTTAATTCACAGATGCAGAACCAATGGAAATGGTGGACCAAATATTTAGTATCTGTACTTTCAGGCATTCACTGGTAGTCTTGGAACTTATCTCTTGAGGATAAGAGGGGGCTATTGTACTACTGATAAAGAGGGACAGATAGTGACAAGAGGAAGAAGAGACAGCACACATCAACAGCTATGGACTCATAACCTGAATCTGAGTCTGTAGCCAGATGGTCCAGATTGAAATCTTTGTAGTGCTTACTGCCGTGTGACTCTGGGTCAGTTACTTTTCTTTCCTGTGCCTCAGTTTCCTTCTTATAAGAGAAAAATAGTAACTTGCTTCTAGGCTCCTATGAGTGCTAAATGAGTTAAGGCAATGATTAGTACATAAAAAGCCTTCAATAAATGTTACCTTTTATTTTTATATATGTTTTACCTCATCAGGAATCACAATATTCTTAGAAGACTTTTCCCATCTGTTACCTGTCAGTAGAGTAAAAAAGGTCCAGGAACCAAGACTTAAAATTTTATCTCTGAAATTTACACCCACACTTACAAATTTAGCACATACTTTGAGAGACTCAAGTAGTTGTGGTTTTACATGGACTAGAATATTCCTAAGAGTCAGACTAAAAGAACTTTTATTTCAGTCTTGAATTTCATGAACCTAATTGTGACAGCCATCCATCCCAGAATTTCTGGGTCAGTCCAGATTTAAAATCAAGTGTCACTGACTCCAAAAACATAATCATATTTGTCAGATCATGTGCTTAAATTATTTAGCAAATGTGGTGATTGTATATTAAATTTGTCTCATTAGGGGCCCAGAACCACTAGCCCAAGTGGGAATTGGGTTTTAGGAAAGAAAGCATAAGTCGCATTAGCTATTTTCTTTCTCCTGACAGATCCAAGGCTTTACCATCAAGGAGGGGCAGTTTGGCAAGGCCCGAGATTGCACCTCTTTCTTCTCACCAGCCATTCTGATTGGCTTAGCTATGTCCCTGATCCTTCTGCTGGTTCTGGCCTATGCCCTGCACATGCTCATCTATCTGCGATATCTGGACCGGCACTACGACTTCATCACTTCTCCTGCCCACTTCCCACCACTGAGAGCAAGAGACATGGCAGAGGAGAAAGAGCTACTGAGGAGCCAGGGGGTTGAATGCTATGAACTGAGGAGCCAACAGATCTGTAAAATCTATGTGTAACAGCACCATGCCTGCAATGGACTCTGAAAGGCAGTGCTTCTCTTCTGTGCTGTTTGCTTGACTTGTGACTGGATTGATTAAAAAAACAAACAAACAAACAAAAGGAAATACACACTGAATTGCTTTGCCTAGGTAGACTTAGGGCAATGAGAAGTTATCTTAGCAGTCCCCTAGAGATAAACATTATGGTTGGCCCAAAACTACAGAGAGAGAGAGAGAAAGAGAAGAGAAAATAATACAATATCGAGAAAGTAAAACACATTTGTCCTCCTTGCCTGTGCCACTTTGGATATAATAAGAATAGAAATAATAAACCCAATGTTATCTGGAAGTTCAAATTTTAAACTTATTTTGTAATATAGTTTACATTTTTTTGAAATTATTTCCCAATTTTCTTTAAAAATAGTCATTTTCTTCCTTTTGTAGAACTGTTTAAGGAAGATTCCTGTTCATGAGGTAGAACACTTCATTTAAGGGCCTTCTTGTCGTTTACTTTGTTATTCAGAAGCAGCACAGCCCAATCTGTGCAGCAGGGGTTAGAGTCCTGGGCATATCTTACCTTTCCCATCTGGTCCTGTGCTGATGTTAGTCTCATTTGTCTGCTGTAGACATCCGTAAGTCTCCTGGGCACACTAGAAACAATAAGAAGAGTAAGTAAGAAAGTGCACTTGTTATGCAAATGCAGTCAAGACTAGTCTTCCAATCCCTCTTCCCTGTGATAGTATCCCCTGAACTCCTCCTTAGAAATTCTGGAGCAACCACTGATGTTCTTCCACCATTTTCTTCCATATGGATTCCCCCATAATTTTTTTGGTAGATAAAGATTAGTTTATTCTCCATCTCACAAAAGCCTCTCAAATATACCTTCTATGTTAAAGAGCTCATAAGTGTAAAGTACATTTTCCTATCTATGGTTTTATATATGATCTGGGTTCTACTAAGGAGATACACTTTCCCAAAACTTAGATTGGAGACGGAAACAATGCAGAGTAGAGAGTTACACACAGAGAAGTTTAGAATATCCTGCGTAACTATTATATAGGTCTACTGTCTAATTCCACCCTGGAGACAAACTTAGGCAAATAGTGGGTGATAATCACAGTGTTGTATCTGACAAAGCAGTCTCATGGTGAGCATTTCTTTTGGTTGCATTGCTATTTACTGTGAATGTAGGTTTAGTTCTAGACCTCCCTGAATACTGTAAGATCATTATGTTTTATAGTAAATTCCTTTTGTTTTGATATCTGGAATATATTTTATAGTCTACAATTAAGATTCCTGATTTGTGTTAGTACCAGTATGATTGCAGGAAACAGATTCTCAAGAAAATGGAAATTTAGGATCAATTACCTGCACTGTTTGGGTTAAAACCAATGGAAACTCTGTTAGTATTAGAGAATGATAAACTGATAGCACATGCCATTCATTAATGAAGGTTGGATTTGCATTGTTGCCTTGAGTGTTCATTGGTGCTATGAATAGCTGTTTGATAGGCTATCAATAAAGGAAAGGTAAATATAATTTATTGTTCAAACTAGGATACTTTTGAAAGTGAAAGGGACTGTCATTAAAATTTCCTCAACAGCAGTCTGGATGGTGCAACTGAGATATACAGTCACCTGAGGTATGGGTGATAGCCTGTTGGCTGGGCTGGCTCTTTATAACTCTGTTGGATGGTTTACAGAGAAAAAAAAATAATATTTCAAGATTTTAAATTCACATCTCACATCATGGACAGAGATCTAGGGGAGTTTCTATGACGGTTCTAAAGGGATCCCTTACCTCTTGTCAAAAGGTGACATAGGTGGAAATCAGACTCATCTGATTCTGCAAAAGGCTAACCTGCCAGGTCTCATATATGAATATGAGAATATGGACTGTAAAGAGAGAAACTTGGAGAATAGAAATGGTAACTTTTTGGAAGATTTAGACAACTTTAAGAATATTGAAACTCTCACTCCACACTCACTTTTTCTTGTTAGCAGAAGCAACTCATGTGAGATTCAACTGTTCTTGCCTTTCTTGAAGACCCCACGATAACCTCACCAGAGATAGTTACTTAGTCAGGAGGTGCCAATTTTCTTCATTGCCTTTAGGCAATTGCAAGGAGTCAATTGCAAAGTCAAATTTGGGAGAATAGAATTGCAAAAATAGATTTGCGAACTTATATAACAAAAGATTTGAAAGAATACAGGTGGGGATGGATTTTGATGATGATAGCCCAAGATAAGTTTATAATTTTAGATTGAACTGAATTGTTTGATGTTGGAATTGATAACCCCCCAATGCTGAAAACAGACACACAGAGACAGAAAGTCTTGACAAAGCAATTTCTCTTGATCAAGAAGGTGCAAGCATGTGCTCACTCCCACTAAGCAAACACGTAAGCACAAAATGGCTGACAGTGGATCCTCCTTATATCCCTGACCCAGTTGTACCTGCCCCTCACCTGGGATTTGTCCAGGTCAAAGGTTCACAATCTCCCTCGATTGGCTAAAAGGCTTGGGGGATGGGTTAGGGCATACAGTTTGGCGGGTAATGGAGTTGTACAGGAATTGGGAAGAAGCAAGGACACTTTAAACATGCAAATCACCTAAGATGGCGACCTGAGGGAATTTTTAAGTAATCTAAGAGGGTAACAAATACCTTGATAGAAAAGATCATTTTTCTTACATTTGATATGGACTTTCTTATCAGATACTTAGGATTAAATGTGCTGGTCTGAGCAGCTGGGAGTGCTACTCACAGTTTGCTTGGTTTGTAATTTAAAACCTGGACTCAACAGTGGCATACCCTTACTGAAGTAGAGAGATCAGAAATGCCTTCAAATTACAAGAGAAAGAAGAAAAACTTTGTAACTTGGAGAATTAGGATTTAGGAATATGTTTATCCTGAGTGGAATGCTTTTCTTCCTCATAATAATTTTCCTCAGTGAAGACCCAGAAGACATTCTGTTTGTCCTAGCACTGAGAAATACTTTGGGAATGTAGCACTCACATTTTTGAAAGGTGCTCTAGTGATTCCTCTGAAGATGATGAATGGAGGTAGGAGATGCTACTCTTGAAATGGATCCTTAGTCTCAATGGGATGTTGAGATCCTCAAGTGGTTCAGGTCAAGTAGCACCACAGTAAATGTAAAGGGCTGGAGGACAAGACTCTCAGTCAGATTACATTGCATTTGTTAATGGTAAATTGATCTATGACATATGTGGCTGGAAAGTTCACTGAAGTACTCTTTGATTTGTGTAATAAGAATAGTGATAAAACCTAGATCTGGCCAGGCATCCATGGCTACAATCCTACCTACTCAGGAGGCAGAGATCAGGAAGATCACAGTTTGAAGCTAGCCCTGGGCAAATAGTTCATGACACCCCATCTCAAAAAAAACCATCACAAAAAAGGGCTATCTGAGTGCGCAAGCAGTAGAAGTGCCTGCCTAGCAAGCATGAGGCCCTGAGTTCAAATCCCAGTACCACACATACAAAAAAAAACCTAGATCTGATGTAAAAAGATTTACTTACACCATAATGGAGGATTACTAGGACCAAATCTGTTCATGACTCAGACTCCCTGGATGAAAAAGAAGCCTCTTAAAAAAGGGTTCTTAGTTTTTATGTTCCGTGTTGAGCAGTATTTATTTATTATTGTTTTAAAATTATTTTTATGGTTTTATTTTGCTTTTTATATTATTTTGTATTTTATATTATTTTAATATTGTTATCTTAATAATTGTATGACTATCCATCATCAGCTGCTTTTGGCATCATTTCTGGTATGTTCTTACCTTCAGGTATGGCAAGACAGTGATGCTTGACATGAGTAGGAGTTGGCTGGGCAGGTAAGTTAGAGAAGGGCAAAGATGGCCAAAGGAAACAATATGTAAAGCCTGGGCTCCAGCATGTGTGGAGAAATACGAACACTTGTACTTATGAAGGCACATAGCATGTATTTAGAGAGGTAAAGAAGGGGACCTGGAGATGTGAGAGGGACCAGATCATTGTGTCCAACTGAAGACCTTAAGAAGTGGAGAAGCCCTTGAGAAGGTTTTAGGTTTAGAGCAAGATGGTTACATGGTGTATAAGTATGAATAGAATAGAGACATAAATGCCAGGTGGAGGTTATAGCAGTAGAAATAACAAAAAGAAATGATAATAATGGTAACTGAACTAAGACAGTGGGAGGGGAAGTAGGAGCTAGAAGAAGTAATAGGAGTCAGGCACCAGTGGCTCATGCCTGTAATCCTAGCTACTCAAGAGACAGAGATCAGGAGGATCATGGTTTGAAGCTAGCCTCGGCAAATAGTTTGCGAGAACCTATCTCGAAAATACCCATCACAAAAAGGGCTGGTGGAGTAGCTCAAGATGAAGGTCCTGAGTTCAAGCCTCAGTACCACAAAAAAAAAAAAAAAGAAGGAGATGGGCAGTCAATTAGCAAATCATAAATGACTGACAGGCATCTGATTTAGGACACTGCAAGGAAGATAGTGCCAGTTTCTGCAATCAGGGAGAAAACAGGAGAATGGTAGTGAAAGGTCCCAAAAGGCAATCCAAATAGACAGTTGGATATATGGATCTGGGACACAATAGACATATACAGACCAGAAAGAGAGATTTAGAAATATAATAGATAGTTGTCAATGTCCCACCCATATTCCTTTAGACTTTACTACTTCAGCACCTCCTGATCCACCACTGCCACTAACTGTCCCCATGGGCTGTTTTATCTGTATTCATGATGGCAAGTTGAAAGTGGTGCCCCCGGGAGTGACTCTCAACCAACAACCTTCGGGACTTGTATATAAATACCCCAGCTCATTTGCCAATTGTTTGGGATAACTGGACTATTTCCTGGAACTCCTTGGAAGACTAAACTCTTCTCTCACTTTGGATTCTTGCTTGACATTGTTCACTTTATTTGTTCCCTATCTTCCCCATCTCTTTTCTTATTCTCCTAATGGTGATTCCTGACATTAACTACAAATTAACTACTTAAATTTAAAT